CGTGCACAAACGAATGTTGGACACCCCTAAAACAGACGATTGTTGTCTCCAAGTCTTAATAATGCGACGTAATCGCCATATGTTTGGAAAAATGCGTCGGACCACTTGATTCTTTTCGCCTATTCTAGTTGCCCATTTTCCAACGTACCTTCTACGACTGTTTCTGACTCGATTTGTGCACTAACGAATGTTGGACACCCCTAAAACCGATGATTTTTGCCACCACGTGCTAAAAATGCGACGTAATCGTCATATGTTTAGAAAAATGCGTCGGACCACCTGATTCTTGTCGCCTATTCTAGGGGCCCGTGTTCTGACGTACCTTCTAGGACTGTTTTGGATGTGATTCGTGCAGAAACGAATGTTGGACACCCCTAAAACCGACAATTTTTGCCGCCACGTGCTAAAAATGCGACGTAATCGACATATGTTTGGAAAAATGCGTCGGAACACCTGATTATTTTCCCCTATTCTAGTTGTCCATGTTCGAACGTTCATTCTAGGACTGTTTCCAATTCGATTCTTGTACTAACGAATGTTGGACACCCTTAAAACCGACGATTTTTGCCACCACGTGCCAAACTGCAATGTAATCGCCATATGTTTGGAAGAATGTGTCAAACCACCTGAATATTTTAGCCTATTCTAGTGGCCCGTGTTCCAACGTACCTTCTACGACTGTTTCAGATTCGATTCGTGCACAAACGAATGTTGGACACCCCTAAAACCGACGATTTTTGCCGCCACGTGCTAGAAATGCGACGTAATTACCATATGTTAGGAAAAATGCGTCGCACCCCCTGATTCTTTTCGCCTTTTCTAGTTGCCCATGTTCCAACGTACCTTCTAGGACTGTTTCAAATTTGATTTGTGCACTAACGAATGTCGGACACCTTTAAAACATATGTTGGCTGCGCATGTCTAGTCCTATTGCCAAGCCAGCAAGAGCGTGGGAGGGTTGCCAGCATCACCAGTCATCGGCGCTCGCGAATGAAGAGCGCACGCTGCACTTCCTGCAGATGTGCGGATCCTTCCGCGTTTTGGTGGTGGAAGCGCTCGTTCTGAGCATTTTTCTTCTGCCATGTCATGTGGCTGCGCTTTTTCGGGCCTTTTTGCCAAGCCTGCAAGGGCGTGGGAGGGTTGTGAGCATCATCGGTCATCGGCGCTCGCGAATGAAGAGTGCCCAATGCACTTCCTGCACATGTGCGTATCCTTCCGCGTTTTGGGGCTGGAAGCGCTTGTTCGAGCGTTTTTCTTCCGCTTGGATACGTGGTTGTGCTTGTCTGGTCCTATTGCCAAGCCAGCAAGGGCGTGGGAGGGTTGCGAGCATGACCGGTCATCAGCGTTCGCGAATGAAGAGCGCCCGCTGCACTTCCTGCACATGTGCGGATCCTTCTGCGTTTTGGGGCTGGAAGCGCTCGTTACGAGCGCTTTTCTTCCGCCGGGTCACGTTGCTGTGCTTGTCTGGTCCTATTGCCAAGCCAGCAAGGGCGTGGGAGGGTTGCGAGCATCACCAGTCATCGGCGTTCGCGAATGAAGAGCGCCCGCTGCACTTCCTGCACATGTGCGGATCCTTCCGCGTTTTAGGGCTAGAAGCGCTCGTTTCAAGCGCTTTTCTTCCGCCGGGTCACGTGGTTGCACTTGATTGGGCTTTTTACCAAGCCAGCAAGGGCGTAGGAGTGCTGCGAGCATCATCAGTCATCGGCGCTCGCGAATGAAGAGCGCCCGCTGCACTTCCTGCACATGTGCGGATTCTTCCGCGTTTTGTAGCTGGAAGCGCTCGTTCTAAGCGTTTTTCTTCCATCGTGTCACGTGGCTGCGCTGATCTGGTCCTATTACCAAGCTAGTAAGGACGTGGCAGGGTTGCGAGCATCATCAGTCATCGACGCTCGCGAATGAAGAGCGCCCGCTGCACTTCCTGCACATGCGCAGATCCTTCCGCGTTTTGGGACTGGAAGCGCTTGTTCCGAGCGTTTTTCTTCCGCCGGGTCGCGTGGTTGCGCTTGTCTGGGCCTATTATCAAGCCAGCAAGGGCGTGGGAGGGTTGCGAGTATCATCGGTCATCGGCGCTCGCGAATGAAGAGCGCCCGCTGCACTTCCTCCTCATGTGGGGATCCTTTGGCGTTTTGGGGGTGGAAGCGCTCGTTTCGAGCGTTTTTCTTCCACCAGGTCACGTGGCTGTGCTTGCCTCGTTCTATTGCCAAGCCAGCAAGGGCGTGGGAGGGTTGCAAGCATCATCGGTCATCGACGCTCGTGAATGAAGAGCGCCCGCTGCACTTCCTGCACATGTGCGGATCCTTCCGCGTTTTGGGGGTGGAAGCGCTCGTTCCGAGCGTTTTTCTTCCGCCGGATCATGTGGCTGCGCTTGTCTGGTCCTACTGCCAAGCCACCAAGGGCATGGGAGAGTTGCGAGCATCATCGGTCATCGCCGCTCGCGAATGAAGAGCATCCGCTGCACTTCCTGCACATGTCCGGATCCTTCCGCGTTTTGAGGGTGGAAGCGCTCGTTTCGAGCGTTTTTCTTCCGCCGGGTCACATGGCTGCGCTTGTCTGGTCCCAATACCAACCCAGAAAAGGCGTGGGAGGGTTGCAGGTATCATCGGTCATCGGTGCTCGCAAATGAACAGCGCACGTTGCACTTCCTGCACATGTGCGGATCCTTCCGCGTTTTGGGGCTGGAAGCGCTCGTTCCGAGTGTTTTTCTTCCGCCGGGTCATGTGGCGGCGCTTGTCTGGTCCTACTACCAAGCTGACAAGGGCGTGGGAGGGTTGTGAGCACCATCGGTCATCGGCGCTCGCGAATAAAGAGCGCCCACTGCACTTCCTGCACATCTGCGGATCCTTCCGCGTTTTAGGGGTGGAAGCGCTCGTTACGAGCGTTTTTCTTTTGCCGGATCACATGGCTGCACTGTCTGGGCCTATAACCAAGCCAGCAAGGGCGTGGGAGGGTTGCGGGCATCATCGATCATCGGCGCTCGCGAATGAAGAACGCCTGCTGCACTTCCTGCACGTGTGCGGATCTTTCCGCGTTTTGGGGGTGGAAGCGCTCGTTCCGAGTGATTTCCTTCCGCTGAGTCATGTGGCTGCGCTTGTGTGGGCCTTTTGCCAAGCCAGCAAGGGCGTGGGAGGGTTGCGAGCATCATCGGTCATCGGCGCTCGCGAATGAAGAGCGCCCGCTGCACTTCCTTCACATGTGCGGATCCTTCCGCGTTTTGGAGCTGGAAGCGCTCGTTTCGAGCGTTTTTCTTCTGCCGGGTCACGTGGCTGCACTTGCCTGTGACATGGAAGATGGGAGATCGGATATGGGAGATCGGATATGGGAGATAGGGGGATGGGAGATGGGAGATGGGGGATGGGAGATGGGATATGGGAGATGGGGGATGGGGGATGGAAGATGGGAGATGGGAGATGGAGGATGGGAGATGGGAGATGGGAGATGGGAAATGGGAGCTTGGTGGTGGGAGATGGGGGATGGGAGATGGGAGATGGGCTGCTCACTAGTTGCTGTTCTGTGGTTGCTGCTCTTTTGTTGCTGCTCACTGGTGGCTTCTCCCTGGTTGCTGCTCACTGGTTGGTGCTCCCTGGTTTCTGTTCAGTGGTTGATGCTCACTGGTTGATGCTCACTGTTTTCTCCTCCTTTGTTGGTGCTCACTGGTTGCTGCCCACTGAGTGCTACTCACATGTTGATGCTCCCTGGTTGCTGCTCACTGCATCCTACTTCCTGGTTGCTTCTCATGGGTCATTGTTCATGGGTTGCTGCGCACTGGTTGCTTTGCTGCTAACTGCATCCTGCTCACTGGTTGTTGCTCACTGGTTGTTGCTCACTGGTTGTTGCTCACTGTTTGCTGCTCACGGGTTGCTGCTCACTGATTGTATGAAGGACGCGACAAAGTTTGCGATCGATGAGTTCATAGCGCAGCACTGTGACGGGTTTATCGCAGCACTGTTCGATTCTAACCCGACAACGCACAGCTGCTGCGTTCGCGTACTACAGTGTGTCAGCCACACGGAGCTCTTGCAGCCACTTGCAACCATCACAGATCGCTGTTGATTACTGTACGACTTCTGCCAGCTGCGAAAACTGTAGCCACATTCTCCAGACTTGACATGTGGTAGCAGTGCACATGCTCAACGTGGTTTGCTAATGTGGCACGCCTGGAAGGTTTTGCGCTCGCATTTTTTTTTTCCCGCGCAATACCAGTCTGAAATATGGGTTTTTCTTTTCTGGAGTTTTGTGATAAGATGTCGTAGTAGGAATATGCCCTTAGGCAAATTCTAGTCTAGTCCATTAACGCCCCTACAAATGAATATCCATGTGACTTGGGGATGTGTAATCCAGTACCATACATGGCTCAGTAAATCCGCAGATTACCGTCACCCCCCGGATATACCCCCATGGGGGGCAATAATAAAACATGTTTTTTCAAGGGGGTGGGCTTATAATCGAGTAAAGTTATAAGCGCCGGCGTTTATAAAATGACATTCATATTTTTTATATTTTTTAACACCAAACTGTAGGTCTCGTGCTTGCCCTTTCAATCGAGTCGAATTTACATGGGGTCGTCTGTGAAATTCTCGCGCGCGCTGGGAGACACACCCAATCTGACTCACATCCAGCTCCTGACAGCTCCTGCTGACTGGACCCGCATCCAGTGCAGGGTCCGAATGTGAAGGGAACCGAATCTGCAACATATCTGCCTGCTAAAGTAAAAATCATTACAACGTTTTGTACACATTTCAAATTTTAAAGTTTACGTGCGCTTATAATAAAACTAGTTTTTTCAGGGGGTGCGCTTATAATCGAGGAGGGGATATAAGCGCCATATGCCAATTAGAAGCGCCAGGCGCTTATCCTAGGGTGGCGCTTATATCCGGGGGGTGACGGTACAAGAATTTCATACAGCACTTAGGCACATACGACCACCGTCAGTGCAGACTCCATTGCTCTACGACAATGCATCGGGCCCCCGTCCATGACTACGGGCGTATCTGTGTTGTGCCTCAGCTTTGCTGAAGGTATTCATTCACCCGCGCCTTGATCGACTTCAAATCATCAATGATGTGTGGTGAGTGCAGTGCAGGGTGAGGAGGGAAAGAGGGCGCATTTGAGGGCAAGACATCCTCGGATGCTACACAAGTTGATAGAAGATTTATGCATGTGTCTGTGCACTGAACAAGTGTACACCTGGTACACAAGTTGATAGGAGATTTATGCATGTGTATGTGCACTGAACAAGGGAGTTGCAGCAGCAAACGACTGTGATGTGGCTGAAGAAGTTCAGAAGATTTACATACATTAGACCGGGATGTCACAGAGAGAGCGGACAAGTGGTGAACAGGAGGCATGCAGGGATGATAACGGCTGAAAAAGTGAGAAAGCGTGCATGTAGGGAGAGTGCAGAGAGGCAAGGAGGCTCACCGCTAGCTCTTGCTGCACGAGGGCAAAGACGGCCTTCATTTGATGCAGGCGCTGCGGGGAGGGCAGTGCAAGGCAGCAACGAGTGAGAGTGGAGGGGAGTGCAAGGCAGCAACGAGTGAGAGTGGAGAGAGAGCCCAGACGGGACAGAACAAAAGGAGATGGTGCATGGGTACCTTGTGCCTGCTGTGGAACATGGTGCATGGGTACCTTGTGCCTGCTGTGGAACATGGTGCATGGGTACCTTGTGCCTGCTGTGGAACATGGTGCATGGGTACCTTGTGCCTGCTGTGGAACATGGTGCATGGGTACCTTGTGCCTGCTGTGGAACATGGTGCATGGGTACCTTGTGCCTGCTGTGGAACATGGCATATATCCGCCGCTTATACCGCTCCTTCTCCTCCTCATCCTCACACTCGTCCATTTCAGTAAATATCCGCTCCGCTTCTTCCCTGCCACGCATGCATGGCAGCGCAGTGAGGCAAGGCAGGGCAGCAGCATGTACACATGCCTCAGTGCATCACAGCAGCATGTACACATGCCTCAGTGCATCACAGCAGCATGTACACATGCCACAGTGCATCACAGCAGCATGTACACATGCCTCAGTGCATCACAGCAGCATGTACACATGCCTCAGTGCATCACAGCAGCATGTACACATGCCACAGTGCATCACAGCAGCATGTACACATGCCTCAGTGCATCACATGGCCCACGTGTGAGCCCTCCCCTCCCCTCCCTGAATGCAGTGCCTCACCGCTGGGCGTCGAGGATGCAGTGCAGGCGCAGGTACACGGCGTACTTGTCTGTGAACTCCGCGTGGTACAGAGCGTACCTGCCACCCGCCCACCCCACCATGATACATGTGCTCCATCAGCGTGCAGTGGTGTGCGCAGGCACGGCATGCAGTGTTGTGTGCTGCCACGGCATGCAGTGTTGTGTGCTGCCGCGGCATGCAGTGTTGTGTGCTGCCGCGGCATGCAGTGTTGTGTGCTGCCACGGCATGTAGTGTTGTGTGCTGCCATGGCATGCAGTGGTGTGTGCTGCCATGGCATGCAGCGGTGTGGGCAGGCATGGCACACAGTGGTGGTGTGTGCAGGCATGGCAGGGGCCCTTACTGGTCGCGAGATGTGATTGGCCCCTTCAGCTCGGGCTTGTCCTTCTCATACGCCTCATACAAGGACGTGTCATGCCCCTCCCACCCCTCATCGCTGCCATCCTCTCCCTCTGCCACTCCCCCCTCCTCCGCTTCCTCCTCATGCCACCTCCGCTTCTGCCTCGCCTGCCTCCCACTCTCCTCTCCCTCTGCCCATCCCCCCACAGCAGCCGCGGCGGCATCTGAGGCAGGCGGGGAGTCGGGGTGAGCATGGGGCTTGTCAGCACTGCCACCCACTCCGCGCTTCATCCCACCACCCATGTCTGCCAGCCCGCCTTCCCCTGCCCCATCCTGCCCGCCCTCCTGCCTCTTTCTCTTCTCCCTCTTCTCCCCCACCCTGCCTGCTTTACTTTTCTTCTCCTTCTTCCTCTTCTCCACCTTCCCCACCTCCCTCTCCTCCATCACTTCGACCCCCACTACTACCCCTTCACCCCTGCCGCCTTCACCCCTGCCGCCGTCACCCCTGCCGCCTTCACCCCTGCCGCCGTCACCCCTGCCGCCTTCACCCCTGCCGCCGTCACCCCTGCCGCCTTCACCCCTGCCACCTTCACCCTCTCGCCCCAGCGGCCCAGATCCCTTTAGCAGCCCACGGGGCCCCTTGTCGCCCCCTCGCCCTGCACCCACCTCCTCCAACCCATCCCCATCCCCCCCGTGCCGTGCCACCTCCTCCCTCGCACCGCCCACCTTCTCCTTCTCCCGCGCGTCCTCATCCTCCCCACCCTTCACACGCAACCTTTTCTTTGCCTTACTCTCCTCTTCTTGCCTTTCCTGCATCTCTCTCTGCTCCTTCTCTACCTGTCGCCTCTCCGTTTCCCTCTCTTCCCTGTCCTTTTCCTGTTTCGCTCTTTTCTCCTCCTCCCTTCTTTCCCTCTCTTCTGTTTCCCTTCTCTCCCTTCCAAGCCTCTCTGCCATTTCCTTATCATCTTTCTCTTTCTCTCTCCTCTCCCTCTCCCTCTCCTCCCTCGCCATCACAGCTTTCTCTTTCTCTCGCTTTTCCTTCTCCCCTTCTTTCGCCTCCCTTTCTTGTTCTGCCCTCCGCTCTGTATTCTCCTTCGCCCTCCGCACCTCTTCCTCTCTCATTCTCTCCTCCCTGGCCGCGCGCTCCGCCTCCTCCCTCTCCCTCATCCGCCGAACATTATCCTCTCTCACTCTCTTCCTCTCCTCCTCAAGCTTCTCTTTTCTCATTCTCTCCTCCTCTTCTGCCTTTCTCACTCTCTCCTCTTCTGCCTTTCTTGCTCTCTCCTCTTCTGCCTTTCTCACTCTCTCCTCTTCTGCCTTTCTCACTCTCTCCTCTTCTGCTTTTCTCACTCTCTCCTCCTCTGCCTTTCTCACTCTCTCCTTCTCCTCTGCTTCCCTCAGTGCCCCATCGTCTCGCTCCTCACTCTCTGTCGCCTTAGCCTTCGCTTCCTTTCCAGCCCATGCCTCCTCTGCCTCCCCTTCAATCCCTTCCTCCCTTTGCACCCCAATTGTCCCGTCCTCCCCCTTCCCTTCCTTTCCAGGCTCATCCCTCTCACCATGCACATCAATGCTATCTCCCTTCTCCCCGCTGCCATCCACCTTCAACTCCCCCTCCTCCCCCTCCTCTCCTCCCTCTCCTTGCGTTTCAGAATCAGTCTTGTCCGCTCTCCCTTCGCCCATCCCACCTTCTTTTTCCTCGCCCTCGCCGCCTTTCTCATCCCCCTCATTCTCTATCCTCACGTCATCTCCTACCATCTCCCCCTCCTCCTCCCCCTGCCCCTCCTGCAGCTCCTTCCCTCCTTCCACTCCCTTCTTTCCATCAACCTCTTTCCCTCCATCTTCCCCTTTTTCACCAAGTCCCCCCTCCCCCCCTTCCGCCCAGGTCCCCTCTTCCCCCACACCCCCCCTCCCCCCCTGCCCACCCGCCTCCTCTCCTCCAGTGCTCGCGTCTGCCTGCCCCTCTTGAGCTGCCCTCGCCTCCCTCTCCACCCGCCCATGCCCGTGCCCGTGAGCGCGCCCCTCGTGCCGCGCCCTCGCCCCCTTGCCCTCCGCCCTCTTCTCCGCCTCGCCTCCGCCCCTGCCGCTGTCCGCCCCGTCCCCATCGTCAATGTCGATGTCAATCTCACTCGCACTGCCGCTGCTGCCGCTGCTGCTGCTGCCAGCATCACCCTCCCCCTCGCTCTCACTCCCGCTCCCACTCTCACTACCACTGCCACTCCCACTCCCACTCTCACTCTCGCTCTCACTCCCACTCCCACCCTCGCTACTCTCACCTTTCACCTGTCCCTCGCCCTCCAAACCTCCACTCTCCCCAACGCCCCCTCCTCCCTCCCCCTCTTCCCCTTCCCCATGGGAGGGCGACTCATCCCCAAACAAGTCTTCCAGCCGCACCTCCTCTCCCCCCTCCTCCTCCCCCCCTCCCTCCTCACCCGCTTCCCCCTTCTTCTCCTCACCCTCCTCCCCGCCTGCCCCTTCGCCCTTTGAGTGATTCCACCCGTCATCCCCAGTGCCCTCCCCTAAGCCCCTCTCTCCCGCCTCTTCCCCTGCTGTGCTCACCCCCCCCTCCACCACTCTGCCCTCCTCCTCCCCCTTCCCCTCGTCCCCCACCTCTTCCTCTTCCACCACCAACTCCTCATCCTCTTCTTCCTCCTCCTCCTCTTCCTCCTCCTCCTCTTCCTGCTCCTGCTCCTTCTCCCCATCCCCATGCCCATGGCCATGTGCGTCCCCGCCCTCGTCGTCGTCGAAGCCCGTCTCGTTGAGGTTCAGCAGCGGCACCCTGCCCGCCCGCGCCGCCTCCCTGCCACCCCCACCCTCTGCCGCCTCCACGCCTCTGCGGGGGAATGGCCGGGGGGGAAGGGGAGAAGGGGTATGGGGAGAGTAAGAACGGGAAGGGAGGAAGGAAGAGGTAGGGGGAGGAGAAATGGGGACGGGGCAGGGAAGGCGCGATGGCAAGAGATGGTGAGAGTGAGGAGCAGCAGGGCGGTGAGCATGGAGGGCAAAGGCAATAGAGGCTTCAGGGCAGCGATGGAGGGCCGGGGGGAGAGAGGGAAAGGGGCGAGGAGCAAGGGGGTGGTTCTCACGGGGAGTGCCTTGGAGGCGTGGACGCGGGGCGGGGGGATGCCGATGGGAGGGGGGACGTGGATGGGCGGGGGGAGGCAGCAGCTAGAGGGGAGAGAGGAGGTGTCCTCAGAGTGGAATGCGATGGCAGGGGGGAATGCCCGGGCAGAGGAGAGTGTGAGGGTAGAGGAGAGTGTGAGGGCAGAGGGGACGTGGAGCGACGCTGTATGGGCGAGCGCCCTGCGGCTGCTGCTGCTGCAGGGTGTGCGGCGTGGGCGCCCTCCTTGATGTGTGGCAGCAGGCGGTAGTACCCCGGCGCATGCAGCCTCGCTATCTGCACGCCATGCTCCCCGCGCACCATGTGGGGCGGATGGGCGGTGCAGGTACAGGGAGTGCACGAGGTGGAAGCAATGTGTTGAAAGAAGATGTGGCCATCAACAAGTGCACGCGGAGGTTGGTGGGGAAAGGAGGCAGTTGGGACCAAAAATGGTCGGGAGACTAAACTACCACTGGTCCCAACTGGTGGTTGAAATAACCAATCACAAATGGTGGATTGACACCCCGACACAAAGGCACACCAAAGAGGGGCTACATTCGTACGTGAGCAGTGCATGGGTGCACGGACAGCTGTTGTAGCTGCAGTGCATGGGTGCACGGACAGCTGTTGTAGCTGCAGTGCATGGGTGCACGGACAGCTGTTGTAGCTGCAGTGCATGGGTGCACGGACAGCTGTTGTAGCGGAGCGGGGTACTGCATGACATTGCAGCCGGGGAACGAGGTCACAGCAATGAATCTCAAGGGGCGTACCCCCGAAGGCCAAACCTAGACTGGCAGGTGCAATCTCTACCGAGTCACGCAGTGCACGTGGGGAAGGGACTGACCGCCCCATTGCGTGTTGGGGGGGGAGGGACTGACCCCCCCATTGCGTGTGGGGGGGGAGGGACTGACCCCCCCATTGCGTGTGGGGGGGGAGGGACTGACCCCCCCATTGCGTGTGGGGGAGGGAGGGACTGACCCCCCCATTGCGTGTGGGGGAGGGAGGGACTGACCCCCCCATTGCGTGTGGGGGGGGAGGGACTGACCCCCCCATTGCGTGTGGGGGAGGGAGGGACTGACCCCCCCATTGCGTGTGGGGGAGGGAGGGACTGACCCCCCCATTGCGTGTGGGGGAGGGAGGGACTGACCTGCCTGACGACTTTGTCGAGCTGCGCCCAATCATGCCCCGTTGCCCTCTCCATCGCCTGGTGCACTCATGCACGCACACACACACACACACACACACACACACACACACGCACACACACACACACACACGCACACGCACACGCACACACACACGCATACGCACACACACACACACACACACACACACACACACACACACACACACACACACACACATCTGCATTGCATATGGATGAGGGGATTGTGATCCATTGCATATCCCCGCCCTCCTTTTCTCAAACTCTCGATGTCTTCCATCCCACTACCCTCCCCTACCACTCACACCCACCCTCCCTCCATCTCCACCTCGCCCTCCATCCCCTTACCCTCCCCACCGACTCACACACTCCCTCCCTCCCCCTCCTCTCTTCCATTATTTTTTACCCCTCTCTCTTTTATTCTCTCTTCCTTTTCCACTGTCCCGCTCCCATTTCACTGCCACTGCCCCTCTCCCTATTCTCTCCCCCCACGCCACCGCTCCCCCCAGCCCCTGTCTCCCCTTTGCCCGCCATGCAGCGCGGCGCTCACAGTTTTGCTGACGCCCTTGGGGTTGCGCCCCAGGATGTCCACCAGGAACGCGCGCAGCTCGCCCGCGGGCACCACAGCCACCTGGGGCGCCTGAGGCATGTCAGGCGTGCCCCCCAGCAGGGCGGCTGCGGCACGGTTGTGTGCGTCGGGTGCATGAGCGGCTGCGCGCGGGGGCGTGGCGTGGGCGGACCGCGGCTCCAGCGCCCTCCCCACCGACAGGTCCGGGGAGATGGCGGGGGGGGTGGCACGATTGAAGGGCGACAGGCGCTGCTGCTGCTGCTTGGGCAGAGGGGGGATGGGCGGGGCTGAAGATCGCTTGAAGAGCCCTGCCCAGGGGTGATGGGCAGCAGGGGTGATGGAGAGTGAATGGAGAGTGAATGGAGAGTGAATGGAGAGTGAATGGAGAGTGAATGGAGAGTGAATGGAGAGTGAATGGAGAGTGAATGGAGAGTGAATGGAGAGTGAATGGAGAGTGAATGGAGAGTGAATGGAGAGTGAATGGAGAGTGAATGGAGAGTGAATGGAGAGTGAATGGAGAGTGAATGGAGAGTGAATGGAGAGTGAATGGAGAGTGAATGGAGAGTGAATGGAGAGTGAATGGAGCGTGAATGGAGCGTGAATGGAGAGAGAATGGAGAGTGAATGGAGAGTGAATGGAGAGTGAATGGAGAGTGAATGGAGAGTGAATGGAGAGTGAATGGAGAGTGAATGGAGAGTGAATGGAGAGTGAATGGAGAGTGAATGGAGAGTGAATGGAGAGTGAATGGAGAGCGAATGGAGAGCGAATGGAGAGTGAATGGAGAGTGAATGGAGAGTGAATGGAGAGTGAATGGAGAGTGAATGGAGAGTGAATGGAGAGTGAATGGAGAGTGAATGGAGAGTGAATGGAGAGTGAATGGAGAGTGAATGGAGCACATGGGCGCACAAGCAACAAGTGAACGTACACATGGGATGCATGAGGGGTGCAGCATGCTGACGCCACCAAGAATGCACCATTCAGTGTGCACGTGCATTCAGTGTGCACGTGCATTCAGTGTGCACGTGCATTCAGTGTGCACGTGCATTCAGTGTGCACGTGCATTCAGTGTGCACGTGCATTCAGTGTGCACGTGCATTCAGTGTGCACGTGCATTCAGTGTGCACGTGCATTCAGTGTGCACGTGCATTCAGTGTGCACGTGCATTCAGTGTGCACGTGCATTCAGTGTGCACGTGCATTCAGTGTGCACGTGCATTCAGTGTGCACGTGCATTCAGTGTGCACGTGCATTCAGTGTGCACGTGCATTCAGTGTGCACGTGCATTCAGTGTGCACGTGCATTCAGTGTGCACGTGCATTCAGTGTGCACGTGCATTCAGTGTGCACGTGCATTCAGTGTGCACGTGCATTCAGTGTGCACGTGCATTCAGTGTGCACGTGCATTCAGTGTGCACGTGCATTCAGTGTGCACGTGCATTCAGTGTGCACGTGCATTCAGTGTGCACGTGCATTCAGTGTGCACGTGCATTCAGTGTGCACGTGCATTCAGTGTGCACGTGCATTCAGTGTGCACGTGCATTCAGTGTGCACGTGCATTCAGTGTGCACGTGCATTCAGTGTGCACGTGCATTCAGTGTGCACGTGCATTCAGTGTGCACGTGCATTCAGTGTGCACGTGCATTCAGTGTGCACGTGCATTCAGTGTGCACGTGCATTCAGTGTGCACGTGCATTCAGTGTGCACGTGCATTCAGTGTGCACGTGCATTCAGTGTGCACGTGCATTCAGTGTGCACGTGCATTCAGTGTGCACGTGCATTCAGTGTGCACGTGCATTCAGTGTGCACGTGCATTCAGTGTGCACGTGCATTCAGTGTGCACGTGCATTCAGTGTGCACGTGCATTCAGTGTGCACGTGCATTCAGTGTGCACGTGCATTCAGTGTGCACGTGCATTCAGTGTGCACGTGCATTCAGTGTGCACGTGCATTCAGTGTGCACGTGCATTCAGTGTGCACGTGCATTCAGTGTGCACGTGCATTCAGTGTGCACGTGCATTCAGTGTGCACGTGCATTCAGTGTGCACGTGCATTCAGTGTGCACGTGCATTCAGTGTGCACGTGCATTCAGTGTGCACGTGCATTCAGTGTGCACGTGCATTCAGTGTGCACGTGCATTCAGTGTGCACGTGCATTCAGTGTGCACGTGCATTCAGTGTGCACGTGCATTCAGTGTGCACGTGCATTCAGTGTGCACGTGCATTCAGTGTGCACGTGCATTCAGTGTGCACGTGCATTCAGTGTGCACGTGCATTCAGTGTGCACGTGCATTCAGTGTGCACGTGCATTCAGTGTGCACGTGCATTCAGTGTGCACGTGCATTCAGTGTGCACGTGCATTCAGTGTGCACGTGCATTCAGTGTGCACGTGCATTCAGTGTGCACGTGCATTCAGTGTGCACGTGCATTCAGTGTGCACGTGCATTCAGTGTGCACGTGCATTCAGTGTGCACGTGCATTCAGTGTGCACGTGCATTCAGTGTGCACGTGCATTCAGTGTGCACGTGCATTCAGTGTGCACGTGCATTCAGTGTGCACGTGCATTCAGTGTGCACGTGCATTCAGTGTGCACGTGCATTCAGTGTGCACGTGCATTCAGTGTGCACGTGCATTCAGTGTGCACGTGCATTCAGTGTGCACGTGCATTCAGTGTGCACGTGCATTCAGTGTGCACGTGCATTCAGTGTGCACGTGCATTCAGTGTGCACGTGCATTCAGTGTGCACATGCATTCAGTGTGCACATGCATTCAGTGTGCACATGCATTCACCCCACTGCCTGCCTGCGCGCACCTGGCTTCTTCTGCACGCCCAAGCTCGCAGCGCCCCTCCCGGCACCCCTGTGCACTGCAGGTGGGGGGCAGGGCCGCACAAGCAGAAGCAGGCACATGGTTAAAAAAAAAAAAAGGGAGAGAGAGGTAAGGATTGTGGAGGAATGCAGGCCAGAAATTGATGCTGGCTACACAGATGGATGGCACGACAAGACGAGAATTGGGCGGCAAAGCATCATACCGTCAACGGTGGGGGCGGCTGCCTTGTTGCCCTTGAGATCCACCAGCTTCAGCCTGCCGTGCCCCACGCCATGCACACACCACGCACACGCCACGCACACACCACGCACACGCCACGCACACGCCACTCACACGCCACGCACACGCCACGCACACACCACGCACACGCCACGCACACGCCACTCACACGCCACGCACACGCCACGCACACGCCATGCACACGCCATGGAACATGCCGCAGCCCAGCCGTCCAGACGCACGCAAGCCCAGGAAGAGGGGAATGGGGAAGTGCGTGAAATTCTTTCATGCCATGGCATGGCATGTCGGCACAGCACAATGCGAAGGTGAACCATGCATGCCATCACATCACATGCATGTGTGCACTGCCATGCCTTGCCTCCCATGTCTCCCTTGCCACCCATCACACGGGCAGCATGTGCCGCATGTCTCACGAGGAATGTACCAACCATCGTCACAAGGAACAGCGCCACACTCACCACGCCCGGCATCACGCCATTGCACATGCCACCACACGCCTTCATCCCTTCTCCCATTCCCCTCCCTTCCACTCCCCGCCCTTCCCCCTCCCCCCCTCTCCCCCTGTGCGCACTTGTTACTGGCGACTTTAGGAGTGCTCTTGGTGAGGTCGCGCCACTTCTCCTTCTCGCGCTCGTCCAGTGGTCGCTGCACGCTCAGCTTCCGCGCCACCTGCGCCACGTGCTCCAGCGCCCGCCGCTCCCCGCCCTCCACACCGCCGCCCGCCGCGTCGCCGGGCGGCAGGAGGCGGTAGACGTCGCAGAGCGCGGGGTCGGGCTCGCTGTGCGACGTGAACTTGAACTCCACTCCGCCCACCCTGATGGCCTGCCGGGGGGGGAAGGGGGGGAATTGGGGGAAGGGGGAGGGAGGGATGCAAGGGGAGCGGCGGCTCACAGAGGGCGTTGACAGCATGGGAGAGTGGAAGACGCTTCGAGGACTTGAAGGGACCTTCCACTTGCCTCGACTCCCCAGCGCCCTTTCCCTCACACTCAACCCCCTCTCAACCCCCTCTCAACCCCCTCTCAACCGCCTCCTCCTCTCCTTTACTCTCCCTGCCCACCCCGACACCCTCCCTTCACCGCACTCCCCCTCAGCGCGCCCCGTCCTCACGCACGTGGCCACTGCCGTTCCGTCCGAACTTCATCATCGCCTCAACGCCATCGTCGCCGGACGTCAGCAGCTCCGTCAGTTTGTCCGTCAGTTTGATCCACATCCCGAACGACTCCGCTCCACCGCCCTCGTCGTGCAGAAGCGCAAATTCCTCTTCCCGCGCGCCCCCTGCCGCGGCCGCGCTGACCTCCACCGCTGGGGACGCGCGGCGCGAGGCCGGGCGAATGGAGCTCTTGCTCTCGCGGAGCATGGGCGGCGCGGGCTTGCTCAGCACACCCGGAGGCGGCGGCGGCATGGCGTCCCTGTCGCGCCCGTACCCGCGCCCTCGCCCGCCCCCGCCCCCCCCTCCGCGCCCCGGGCGCTTGAGCTTGCCCATGGGGCAGCGCGGGGAGTGCGCGGCGGCGAGCAGGCAGGTGAAGCGCGCCGATGGCGACGAGGCGGGCGAGAGGGAGTGGCGCTACCGCCGCTGCTGCCAGTCGCGCGAAACGAGGGATGGCCCTTGAAGCTTGCGGAGGAAGGCGCGAGTTGAGTTGAGTCCAAGGCACTGCGGAGGCGCAGTCGCGATGGTGACGTGAAGAAAGCTAGGGTGTCGGACTAGCAAGCTTCTAAATTGGTGTGTACATTTATGATTGTGTGGACTTACATTCTTCACAAATCACCTTGTCATTGGTTGAAAACAGTAAGGCAAAAAGAACTTGTATGTCTTGTTATTAGCTACCCCATTCAAATTTGGCAGGTGGTATGGGCAATAACAGATTTGCTATTGCATTAGAGCATTGGCATACACTGCGCACACAAACATGGAGAATTTGTGGTGGGCTGGCAAGAAGATCCCCATGGGGGCAGCTAAGCTAAGCTAAGCATCGAAGCCAGAGTAGACGCCCTGGTCCCTGAGCTGCCGCTTCTCCTCCTCCACGTAGTTCTTCCCTCGGCTCGCCTGCCCCGCATCGCGCTTCCTCTTCTCGCGCTGGCTGAAGCTCATCGCAGCAGCCGCGCCCCTCCCTCGCTCGCCTCCTGCTTGGCGGCGCTGCCAGTGGCGCTCTCTGTGCTCCGCTGCCAGGTCCGCCCTCAGCTGCCTCGCCGCTGCCCCGTGCGCCAACGCCCTCGCTGCTGCCGCCTGTGAGCACCACCAGGCACACGGGTAACAGGCACACGGGCGGAGGCATGGGGAGGGGCACGTGGTGGGGGCAGGGTGTGAAGAGGGGCATGTGGTGAGAGGGAGGGGGAGAGGGCGATGGGGGGCAATGTTGGACAACCAGAACAACGCCTGGCTCTTATTACCATGGAGAACGGTGGTGAGTGGTGTGACGCGGTGCCAACATCCCCCTGGCATCCCAGCATCCCTGCCTACCTCAGCACCAGCATCACTCGCCAGCTCCTGCAGCTGCCGGCTCTCCTCCCGCGCCCTCTTCCGCTTCTCCCTCTCCTCCTCCCCATCCCCCTCCGCCTCACTCCCCCGCCCCTGCCCCTGCGCGTGCCCCTCGCGCCCTTGCCCGCAGCCCCACTTGCCCCAGTCCACGGCGGCGCTGGGCTGCTGGTCGGGCAGCAGCAGCACAGACGGGCCGCCCACCAGCCCGTGCCGCACCAGCGCCGCGTAGTCCACCGCTGCACGCACGCGCGGGACAGGGCCGGGAGAGAGTGGGGTAGCAGGGGGCGCAGAGCAGAGTGAGAGTGCAGGAACATTGTACGGACGAGCGCGAAGCTACATCACACCACCGCTCCTTCCCACCACGCAATCCTACCTCCGCCCTTGCGCTGTCCCGTTTCCTCTCCGCCTCCGCTCGTAGCCTTCTCTTTCCCTCCTTTCTCCTCCTCCGCCTCCTCCTCCTTCTCATCATCCTCCTCCTCCTCCTCCTCGTCTCCTTCCTCCTCGTCCTCCTCGCTCTCGCTCTCTTCCAACCCCGCTAGAGGGTCCATCGCTTTAAGCAACTTCGACATTCGCGAAACTCAAACGAGGTCGCACACGCCACTAGAAGCAACGTCCCGCTCCCACAACCTTTCTCGTCACGCGCTCTTCCACGCGCTCCACTCCCTCGCCTCGCGCTCAAGTTCAATCCGAGCTGTCACTACCACCCGTAGGTGCCTTCAAGTGCTACCGAGTGAGTGCGGAAGGTCTACCCGTAGTTCGTGGACGGCGCGAACAGCAGAAAGTGCTCGAGACGGCGCGCATAGCAGACAGTGGCTGAGAGGAGTATGCGCAGGATGATTTGGTGGACAAATTGGTCAACATGGTGAGGCGCGTTATTGTGTTGGCAAATGGCAATCATAGTAAGCTTAAAACAGAACTTTGATGGCTAGGCAAGCTAATACACATGTCAATGATACATTCAATGATCTAAGTTTATTAGACGCAATCAGATTCGAAATTGTTGGAATTACCGAAAGGCTATATAAAGCATTCCCGAAGCTGTTCCACTGTACCAGTACCGCAATAGCTCATATAGAGCATACGGAATGTCGAAGGTCACCCGAAGGTCAACCGTCTGAGGAAGTCAACGGTCGTGACCCTTGGCAATTCAGTAACCGCGCGACAGTTAATTCACTGCAACATGGTAACTGTCGAGGATAGCAATAGTCACGGTTATTGTAGCTATGCAATACAGTTAATAAGGGAATGTACCCCTCAGGGTACATGGCTAGCTAGATTTCTACTTAATCTCTTGTACTCCTATCTTTCAATTATCTTGTTCTCTTTCAATTATTATTCAACAAGGTCACTACAGAGACTTCATTGTCTCCCCTCATACTTAACAGATTCTATTAGATCCACTGGATTCTTGGTAATATCAGCATGTATTAGAGCTAGAGTGGATTATACGATCTGTCAAGTCCTCGTTCTTCTCAAAACAATCCCTTTATAAAGTCATTTATTACACCTCAAAGTCTGCAATACTATGGCTCCTGAAGGAAAAGCTACTGCAGACTCACCGGGCCCACCACCAGCAACGACTAACGTGCCATCAGCGGTGACCTCCGTCAGCGCCGTTGTCGTTGAGGAGCTAGTCGCACGCATCAACGCCCTTGAAAGCCATCAAGCAATGAGCGTTGACGGCTCAAGCTATGCACGTGGCGTTGCTGGACTTCCTCTTCCTGGAGAAGACCGACGCGTCAACTCCGAGAGATCCTTCACCTTCGAGAATCGTCAAGGGTCAGCTCTTGCACAAGACAACCTACAGCGCTCACAGTCAGACATTGCTTCAATGCAAACCAAATTTGTATTGACTTCAAAATTGAAGACCTCAATTCCTTTCAACGAAAAGGATTTCTACATGTGGAGTTTCGAATTCTAGCTTCTCGCGACAACCGCTCAAATCTGGATGTACTACGACGGAAGCCTACCTTTTCCCTCGGAAGGTACCATCCAGGAGAAGCATCAATACCACCACGAATCCCTCCTCGCGTACACTGCTCTCCTTCGCAATCTCTCACCTGAAGAGCAGCTCGGCATTCGCCCTTATAAGACAGAGTGGGCTCCCGCGCAATCCTCTTAGGAACACCTGCGCAACTCATACATGGCAACAGATCCAGTTACAATGAGCCGTCTACTCAGCCAACCGACTTCGGTTAAAATGAAGCAAGGGGAGAAAGCGGGACCGTATGTCAACCGGTGCCGCAATCTGCGTGACCAAGTCAAGAAATGCGGTGGGACTGTCCCCGACGACATGTTCATCTCGATGGTCATCTCTGGCCTCGGCCCCGACTGGCAACAATGCCAGTCACTCCTTCGCGCCCGAGCAACCATATCAGAGTCAGCTCTGTGCGCCACGCTTCTTTCGGAGCAGAAGGAAATCGACCTGTACAACGAGAAGAATGTTAAACGGGAGAAATTAGTATTCTACACAGGAGCATCACAAGGGGAACAACGCGGAAAGAAGGGAGCTTTCTGCAAATACTGCAAGAAGTCTGGCCACTCTATCGACCAGTGCTACAAGCGTCAGGCCGCTGACGAGCGGCGCAACGCCTCCAACCAACAACCATCGACGCAGACAAAGCCCTCCGCCACTGTGCCGCCTCCTTCCGTCGCCAGCACTTCACAATCCCCTGCACTCATCACGACGAAGGACAAAGGAAAAGGATCAATCATAAGCTGCATGGCTCGACGCAACAGAGGTTCCCGTTACTGGGATCGAGTAACATTCGCTCGTGACAATCCCATCAACCCCGTCGCGCCCAGTCCAGACAATGACCCAACAGCTTTTACCTGGTCCTCTCGCCCCTCAGACATCCCTCCTAGCTTCGAGCTCCCTCCCCCTACTCCGGAATCGCCGCCGAGCATTTCCGCAAGCAGATATTTCGCCCTCTCACCGTACACCGGCGAGCTTGTGAATAATTAGGAATGAAGAAGAGAGAGGGTTTGCACTAGCAGCAGTTGGCATACATATAGGAAACCCTAATTGGGTTGTACTCGCTATAGAGTACCCCACTGCAGGCTAGACAATTATAACATTCTGACACACCCCCATAGCCAAAGTGGGGTGTAATCAGCACAACGAGCAAGCAGGCATAGAGCAGGAGTTCACAATAGGGAGCAAAGCTAGAGTTAATCACAGCGGGCAAGTGAGGAGTAGGAGGAACTGTGGAGGGAGAGAAGATGGGAGGCAACGACTGAAGCTGCAGAGGCACGAGCACAGGAGCAGCTGACTCAGTGGCTACCGAAGCAAGGGCGACGGACTACTGGAGTAACTGGATCCGCGGCTATAGACGAGCGGCAGGAGCAACGGACCCACTAGCGACTAGTGCAACAGGCTCACTAGCTACCGAAGCAAGGGCGACGGACTACAGGCGCTGCAGGCCACACGACAGCTACCTTCACACAACCTCCTCCAGCTGCCCCACACCTCTCGACACACACCCCCTGCTCAAACCCTAGTTCTACTCCCACAGCACCCCCCTTTCACACACCCCCTGCTGCACCCTAGGTTCACTCACACCCCACCCCCTAACACCACTCCGTCGACTCCCACACAACCACCCGCCTCAGCGGCAGCTGCAGCAGTGGGAGACAGAGGAGGAGGAGGAGCAAGGGAGACCACACACTCGCCACCCCCTACTCGCCACCCCTAAACCCTAACACAGGGCAGGGCGGGATGGCGGGTAGGGAGGTTACGGGGGGGGGGGGGGAAGGGGAGGGCCGACGCGCGGCCTCCCAGGGCGCCAAAGCAGGCGGCAGAAGGTGCGACGCCGCCCCCCCCCCCACGCGGCCCCCTCAGGTCACCTCGACAGGCGACGAGAAAAGAGGGGGGGGCGTTGCACGTGCCCCCGGTGCGCCGCGACAGGCGACGGAGCATGGCTAGGGCGGGGCCGGGGCAAGATCGAGGCAGGGCCGAAAGGGGCGGCAACGGGGCCGCTGGAGGCGGCGACGGGGCCGATAGGGGCGGCGACGGGGCCGCGAAGGGGCCGCGAGGGGCCTGGAAGGGCGGCGACGGGCCGCTAGGGGTGGCGACGGGGCCGCGAAGGGGCGGCGACGGGGCCGATAGGGGCGGGGACGGGGCCGTGAAGGGGCCACGAGGGGCCTGGAAGGGCGGCGACGGGCCGCTAGGGGCGGCAATGGGGCCGCGAAGGGGCGGCGACGCGGCCGCAAGGGGCGGCGACGGGGCCGCTAGAGGCGACGACGGGGCCGATAGGGGCGGCGACGGGGCCGCGAAGGGGCCGCGAGGGGCCTCGAAGGGCGGCAACGGGGTCGCGAAGGGGCCGCGAGGGGGCGAGAAGGGCGGCGACGGGGCCGCAAAGGAGCCGCGAGGGGCCGAGGTCGGCGACGGGGCCGTTAGGGGCGGCGACAGGGCCGCGAAGGGGCCGCGAGGGGCCTGGAGGGGCGGCAACAGGGCCGCGAAGGGGCTGCTAAGGGTCGCGCGGGGGGCACGCCACCGGGCGTGCAGCACACAGAGTAGCAGCGGAAGCAGTTGGGTGGGCCCACAGGCCAGGAGCGTAGATGCTCTGATAGCATGTGAATAATAAGGAATGAAGAAGAGAGAGGGTTTGCACTAGCAGAAGTTGGCATACATATAGGAAACCCTAATTGGGTTGTACTCGGTATAGAGTAGACAATTATAACATTCTGACAGACCTTGATCGCATCGTCACGCCCAAGATTGCCAACCTCGCCCGCCAGCTCTACGAGGATCTGGACACGTGGTACCTGGACAGTTGCTGCGGACAACACATGGTGGGATTGCCAAAGTTCATCAGCAACTCTCGACGCATGCGACGACCCTGCGAAATCACCGCCGCCAACAACGGAAAAATGAAGGCATATGAGATTGGCGAAATCTACCTCGAGGCCGATGACACGAAGTTCACCATTCACATCGGGGACGTTCTCGTCGCCCCTGACCTACAATACAACTTACTCTCATTAGCTCAACTCATCCGGTGCGGAATCAACATTCGCAGCAATCAGAAGGAAAAGACCTTCGAGCTCTTCCGCAACAAAACTTACATCGGAAAGGCGATCGATGATGATGGAGTCTTCGTGCTGCAATTTTTTTCTCAGAGCACCACCGGCGACTCCCACCGCACACTGCTACTGAAAACAACTCCCACGGAGCCACCAACATGGTCACATCCCGACGAGATGGACCTCGAGCGACCAGCCTCCGACGGCCTTCTACGCTTGCGCACTGTCCCGAATGCCTCGACCTCCAACCCTGCAGAAACCGGACCTGCCACAATGGAAGAAGACAGCGGCACGTCAGGATATGCAACTCAACCAACCGAGGAAAACAAGACAGCGGAGACACACTGGCCGGGCTGGAACACTTCCGAGCCCGCGCTCAGATCGTGGGGAGAAGTACTAACTCCAGAAGAAGCAGCCGCAAGTGGGTGGGGCGCAGTTCCAGCAGAGGAAGTTGGCGCAACAGCAGGAGAAGCAGTTGGAGAAGCAGAGACCGCTGAAGACACATGGGGCGCCAGAGGAGGAT